AGTAGATCTGAAAACGCGAGATACAGCACATTTGTTCCACGTTATCGGCTGCAGATCGTTACATTCAACCGCTTTTTAGAGCCTTCAGAAATGTGATTTATTGCATGCCTCAATTCGCTTAACGTGACTGGTGTTTTCAGAGTTTTTTGTCACCAGATTATATCCAGTTTGATTAGGATCTTTACAGATAAAACCGGAATTTACTAGCTGAATGTTCACAAGTGTCGAGCAAGATTTAACGGAATGATCACTTGGTTTCCGGTTTTCATCTCGAGTTTCTAGTTTTTGGTTGGAGTCAGGATAGAAACGTTTACAGCGTCGAGTTATCTGAATTCGATTTCGATGGCCTTGGTCAGAGTTATAATTTCGAGTATGTGTTCACCAAGTATACTAGTACTTTCATTCGTGGGCCTCAACGTGACATATTTCCACAGGGTAATTGAATATATAAAAACATCTGTTTTCACTGTTCTGTCACAAAATCTTTGTAGTTGCCATTGAGATCTAACTGCATTGTGGTTGGAACTGTCGAGAAGCTTGTGTATATGAAATAATTCTGTTCACAAAGAGAACACAAATTGACGAAGAAGCTCGTTTTCAGTGTGCCACAACCATGTTATTACAGCACAATAAATATGACTAGTAAAAGAAGAGGTTTTTTTCCTTGTAAATTCTCCTCTATTACTAGTCATATTTATTGTGTTGTAATGGCATGATGGTGATACACTGAAAAAGAGCTGGCTTGCCCATTTGTGTTCTCATTATGAGCTCCGTGGAACCGTTCAATTATATTCAGTTAGGGACATCTCAGTGGTTGTATGATCGGAAAAGCGGATGGGTTATCAATGTGACAATAATAGAATACATGAGAAAAAGCCGTTCCAAATGGACAATAACTCTGGTTGTGAAATTTATGATGTTTACTCGTTCCCTCGACGTATAAAAATGATTAAAACCACCCCGAAGAAAAACAAAGGAACATTTCGAGTTTTCATATCGGAGCGGTAAAAACACAGTTGGAAAGCGTCTCCTACCACGCATGACATGGAAATGTAAACATCCTTGAACAATGAGGAAGCATAGTGGTTAAGCAATTCCGGTTTATATTGGAGCATGGAAGCATTTATTTGAATTTCAGAATAGGTAAACAAAGTCCTGAGAGCCCGGCAATATAGATCGTAGAAGTACGCGGTGACTCTTCGTCGCCAAGATGCGGGTACTGAGGTGAGTCAGTCGGTACAGGCCAGAAATAATCCTCGTTTTCACGAGCTATTTTTCAATGCAAACGTGCAACCAGGTCTCCTGGTGGGAAGTGGCATACCTGGTTGTAAAAATTCACGTTTTCAAACCAAAACCATTCTGGTTATTTCCCACCAACCCGAGCGTTGCTAGTGGATACATCTGTGAAATTTTTTTACCAAGGGCCACTCTCCTCATGCCTCGATGCTTCCTATGACATTCACAAAACATCTTAGTGATTCGTTTTCACTACTTGCTGGCCCTTTATAAACTAGAAAACTGAGGTTTGGTTAGCTGAAATTGCTTATGAGAGTATTTCATGGTGGATGAAATTTTTCCGAATAATGAACGCTTTTGTGGCAACGGTAAGCTGGAATATGGAATCATGTGGATAATGTATTATTTTTGTTACCATAATTCGATGGCAACATGATTTAGTGCGGTTAGCATCGAGGATCGAACAATATATGCATCAAAGTTTACCTTCGCCCTCAAATCACCGTTTGCTGCAAACTGGATTGCAAAAAAGATGAAATTTCTCCCTTTCATTTGCGATAACCAGTGCTATGAATTCCATTAGCGTCGAAACATCAAGTGTATCATGTTTTGGCTAAACACATTACATACTTATCGGGTTCTTATAGTGCTTCCAAAACCAAGCTTGAACGTTGAGTAATTCTTGTTGTGTGGGTATTGATTCTCCTAAGCCTAAGTGACTACAATATTGAATTCAAACCCGGATGTGATTTAGGACACATTAACCTAATAAGCCAGTCATGCAAAGACTATGCAGTTGATGAACCCCTTTTTCTTAAGATTCAGAATATTCCATCAAGTAATTTTCGTGTTGCTGGTTCTTATCTTACTCATTCAGCTGTACCATGATTTAAACCAATACCTGGCGGAAAACTGGGCTGCATAAAACGGGCCAAGTAAGATTTGGATGACACAGTCAATCGGACTGTTGCCCACGTTCTCAAATGAGTCACGTTTCCTTGGAATGGATGGTACACAGTGAAAGAGACAAAAAACAACCAAAACAGAGAAACGGAAACCGAGAGAGAGTATGTGTGTGTAACTGTCAAAGTTGTTGTCTTGAGCATCGGAACTTGAATCTCCAGAGACCAAACGGATTATGCGAGATCTGCGCGTATTTTACGAAAGATCGCTAAGCAAGTCGTATTTAGGCCCAACGGTTAGTTGTTTTCATCCCATACGATGAAGTTTTTGAAACCAATAGTCTGTTCTTTTTTGTGTGTTCTTTTACTTACCGGCCTTTCAAAAATTTGTCTCTATTTCGCAGCATTAAAACATGAAATGCAGTAGAGTATATCTATGGGTAAGACGCTATTGGTGACTTAGTTTTTGCTGGCCAAACAATGCAGTGCGAAATTGTTTTGATTAAATTTAGAATTTTTTTCATTACAGTATAAAAGTTTGCTTCAGCAATACATATCCGGAGGAGTAATCTCACGATAAAAAGGGAATACAATAATGAGTGATTAGTTTCTCAAGTAGAATAATAGATCACGTGATATGTTTACGTTTCAAACGTGTATGTGAAACTTTTATAAAATGCTTGCAGAACGACTGATTTGCATTCAATCGCATTTTCCTTGCACAACAGAACATGCAAGTTGTGAGACGACACAGTTTATCTAATATGCTTTCAGCTGTTGCATATTTCCGTTGGTGCGGAGGTATTTATAGCATTCATGTGTAATTACATGTTTGACGATAGTCTAATGCAACAGATTGCATTAACTGATATGCCATAGATCTTCACATTCTGCGACCACCTGGTATGTTGTTTCGTTAACAGGTTGTTTGACATAATCAAATAATTTTGAAGTGGGCAGACATTTTAAAATTTATAGCATAGAACAAATCCATTTGTCCAAAATGTTTCACATCTAAGTGATTCCAAAATGTAACTGGGTTTGATTTGGTCTGATGAAGGTTATTGCTCAATATCAGCGAATTACGATCCCTCAGTGAACTATGACCGATGTTTGCGGTGCAGGTTTTGTACCAAATGTTGTAATATAAAACACTTGTTGACTATGTATTGGACTAAATCCGTGAAATGGTCATTGGCGTTCAAAAAATAGTGTAACTTCAAGGGCTTTCCTAATCCGTGGAGTGTATGGAAAGAAGAAATGTCAGTCTGAATCCGGTTGTCTCAGGAATCCTAAAACCATGATTTACTCTACTCTCAATTGGCTGTTTCACTTCTATCAATGAATGGGTGTTCGATAAACATTTTGCACTAATAAATATTTGAAACTATCGATTGACTTCTTGTTATGTGCATTTAACGCATTAATTAATCTGTATTTTTTAATAGTTGGGTGCCATTTAAACCACCAGATAAATATTCGCCTCCGAATATTATGAAATTTTATACATTACAAAGGATTAACGATCCCTTTGTAGCTAAAGTATCAAACCATCTTTTAAGCACACATTTTCATACTTTATTTATAGAGAAAAATTTTGTCATATTTGGGGCAGAAATTTGTTATGTGGCTCCTTGGAGGTCTTGATGTCTTCTTCGCGAAATGTTGTGTTCGATTTGATTAGAGCGATGTTGCTATCAGTAATCGATCAACTCAGAAAATTGATTCTCAAGTGTGTATTATATATTTCCACTTGTGGTATGTATGACTTTCAAATCTTATTTAGCATAATGACGAAAAGCTAATAGTTATGATATGATAGATAGATAATTTCACAGCCAAGCGGCATCGTAAAAGCAGTTTGGTGAGAGTCTTTGTTCAGCTTCAATGAGAGCGGACCGCTTTACACTTAAGTGGACAGTTCTTTTTGAATCGTACAGTTGCCAGACAATGTCGTTTCCTCTCTAATCCGATCAGTTCTATCCATGATGGTCAACGGAGAGTCCGGTTTCAATTATGACATTGCTGCATCACGTGTTTTGACGAAAATCAAAAGAATGTGAATTCATTTAGCATCAATGAAGGAGTTTGGTATGGGTGCTCAGATAGGCATCACATGGAATAAGTGATCTTTTGAAGGTACCAGTGTGCTCTGGACACGCCATGGCGGAAGGACTAGTCTCACTGAGCAGCAGGATGCAGAAAATGCGGGCTCTAGACACCGGAAGAAACTGGCTATTCATTAGTTTCCATAAACGAACTTTCCGTACAACAGACTTCTGTACACCGAGTGCTAACGGGAATAGTTACGGAACAAATGTCACGGAATGTACTGAACAGGTGTTTAAATTTAAGGTTTAGTCAAATATTCACTAAGTCAAATTATGATTAATACATAGAAAACAATTAGACTGTAACAGCAATAGAATGCTCACAGTGCCTCTCTATCATGGGAATTCGTAATTACCGTTTATGGATTAAGGTGACCATGGGGATGATGAAGAACATGAGAATGTTTAAACAAAATTCAAGATGAGGTACTTTTATCGAGCAATTATTCCCTTTTATAACATAAAGGTAAACCCTTATAAGTATACAAATCTTTATCTTATCAAATTTTCTGTTTCAAAACACAGGCTATCGATTTTGATGATAGTAATTAGAAATGTGGTTGAGATTTACACAAAAGTAACTTAGCTAATTTATCCAGACTCGCTTACTCACCTAAGTCACCGTGATCAGCAGTCGGCAGTATACTAGCTAGCTAAACAGTGCATCTCATTTATTTGGCTTTCATTTGTTATGCCAATTTTTCAGATGTTCTTTGAATTTATTGGATAGTAGGTCAATTGTTCTGGACGATTATAAAAATACTAGTCCGGTTGCGGCTTCACCTACTGGATAGCAATGATTCGAACTATGTTCGGCATTAATCTGACCAAAGAAACAAGATGAGTTTCACTCTCTTGTCGGACGGCTTTATACAAAATTTACTTCTTTCCCCCCAAGATCTAACAAACAAAATCCAGATTTGCTTTTATTGTTGTATTATTCTGGTTATTGCTGATATTGTTACCCTGATTCGAAATGACTGCATTTTAGAAATACGGTGATCTGAGTGCTCTCCATCACAACCTACAATCCAGAAGGCGGTTAAAAGGCGTGGAGAACACGAAAAAACGTCAGCTAAGAGAAAAGCCTACGTTGATGACGTTTTACGAAATTAAGTGAATAATCCGAGGATTTTTTCTTGGTTTCTTGTTTGTATTTACCCAAAATACAGAAACAAACAACTAAAGTACCCTAAAGTAAGTAAACGGGACTTAAAATACCGAAGATTAAATAGCAGTTCATTAAAGGCTAGTGATAAAAGAGCAATTGGACTGACCAGGGAATTCACAGATCAGCTAATTTGCACTCGATGAATAATATATGTTTGACATTTGAGTCTGCTGATATGCTACGTGAAGAGGAGTGCGGAAATCTATTCACATTTACCTAGTCCAAAGTTGACGCACTTGTATGCATGCAACCTGATCTATAAAACGGCGTTTATCATTTTTGACTGAATCTATGTCTATACAAGGGAACCGATTGATGTCAACAGTACTAAACACTGAATAACATACCCTTAATTAAAGGTCAAGGTTCTGATCGCTGCTAAACGTTCTTGTTATTAGCACGCAATGATGCAAATTTATGGTATCAACAACCATGACCTGTAACCTTCATCACGTCAATCATTCAAACGGGCGGTAAACAATTACCGATAACTTGCCCGTCACCCATTGCCCAATGTGTGTTTCCTCTTTCTCTCTATCCCTCAGGTAAATCGTTATTTGTCTGCGACAATTGACAGATTAACTGCTGCATAACCTGCTTGTTTCATTCAATTTGCGTGCAGAACGCTTTATCGTGCAAGCTAGAGAAACCGGGTCAGTTGATTTCAATCATGCGTGCGATTGTGTAGAATGCAACCGATAGTTGGAAAGCGGTCGGCCTATACACTTTTTGATTTAATTGCCCTCGGCCACTCAGCTAAAGCATGCCATAAAAGTTCACAAAAATGATGCTGCGAATACCCTCGGTTGCAATAGGTGATCTATACTGTGAGTAGTGCGTCACGGACAGGATTTCTCAATGGAGTTTATTGAGTTCAATCTGCCCCGGCTAGTTCAATTCATTGTTTGTTTTGTCGCAAACCTATCTGCAAAATGAACTTTCTTATGTGTAATCTTTCTCATTATAATTTCCAGGTGATTTGAATTGATAATCTCAGTTTCATGGTCGATGTTCACCGTTATACAAAAGTCTGTCATTCACAGTAGTGGAAAGACTTCAGTTAACTCCTCACTTCACTGCAACCATCTAGTTTGTTTAATAAAACTCATCATAAACAGAGCAAACACAATGTAAATGAAGCAGTTGGAAATGATTGGGCTGTAATTCGAACCTCTCTGGGTACCATCAACAGTATAGATTTACCAAGCACACTGTGTATAGTGAATTTTATTTTGTCAGCCAATTGAATACTCCAGTACCATTTTAGAAGGGGATTGGGCTCAGACTGCTCCTTCTATATAACTTGTGATTTCTTATTGCTGGCTTGTGCTGGAAGTAACTGGTTTTGATTTAAGGCAATAAATTACCAAAGAAAGCATGTATAACTAGAGTTAAACTGCAGAAGGAGCAATCAGGTGATCAAAAAGAGACAAACATCTTCATTCGCTTATTGAGGCATCTGGACTTTATCTTCTTCTTCTTCTTCGGTCAACATATTTGACCTGTTGTTGAAACCTTGTCATTGAAAAATTGTAACAAAATCCTGAAATTTAAAGTTCCCAAGTTCTTTAATACACCTACGATGAATTCCATTAAATTTCTATCTGTAAATCTCTATCCTGTGCCAAGAATCAGATGCCATTAATCATCTGGACGAAGCACCGAATTAATGGTAGTAACGCACAATAATTGATTAGACTCACTTTAACCATTTCTTCCACTTTAGGGGACTTTGGTGACAGTAGTTCCCGCATTCTTTGATAGAGCTTCCTAAGATTTGACGAAATATAACTTGGTTGTTGTTGTTGTTCTGATTTCTTATCCGTTTTTGTTTTCAACACACCATCCTCCACGCTCCTTTCGGGGATCTCATCACTTCCGAGTTCCGGTGAATCACCATCCACGACCGGGTCCACCCGACAGATCTTTTTTAACAGCACTCTTTTCTTGCGCCTGTAATGCGCGTGAGCAATTGGCTCATTCATTCGGGGCAACGGTTCCTCAGCTTCCATAATATCCGTTGGTATATGCTCCGGACGGGCCAAAGAACGGAAAATGGATGCCAGTATGGAGAACGAGCAAAACCGTTCGCATGTGGTTCGACATGTGCGTGAATAAAGAGCTCGAAAAACGTCGGCTAAATAGTCACCAATGTTTGATAGATAGAGGAACACGAGTGGTATACCAACCAGGGCGTACAAAATGGTGAGAAACTTGCCCACTTCAGTCTTGGGCGTTGCATGACCATACCCTGAAATGAAAACCAGAATAAAATAAAAATGATATGAGACCGAAATTGGTCCCGAGAGTAATGAATTTTGTTTTGAGCGACATAAAATAATATTAACATTTGTGAAATTTAATTACCACATTCATCTTGTTAGTACTACCCATCCTGTGGGATCCGTGAGTTAAATCTATATTATAATAGATCGATAAGCGTACACCATTCTACAGTTTTTATGGTGTGTTGCTCTAACAATCAGAATGCAGTTTGAGCGAAATGGCCAAACAACAATGGAGAGTAACAGACGAGAATTTTTATGCACTAAATGTTTCTAGAGGATAACTTAAATGAGTATCGAATCTTTGGGCCGATTTTGCAACCCATTTTATCATTGCTATTCGACACTGTGTAGCGAGTAGTAGCAAAGAGAAAATATCTCTGAGAATTCATCTTCCTTGGGACGAACAGTCATTATTTTTAAATGCACATGGCCTTTTGGTTTTTCATCCTCCCAGTACATACGAATCATTGCAAAATATATTGTACATGTTTGGAGAGGCTGAGAAATCGGTATAGAACTGGTTGAAACAAACAGAAGTTATGACGCCGGCGCGGGGGGGGGGTATTTGTAATTCGCCTGAGTGGATTCGTCCAGTCAAATACCCAGAAATAGGGAATGTCAGTAATGACAATCTGGTTAATACTGTTTAGTCTAATAAAATTCCCAGAATGGGGTTACAAAAATCGGTTTTGTCTAAATAAACCTTTTTCTAAATGCAAAACTACGAAGAAACATGTGGTGGTTTATTTATCTCATAAAAAAATCGAAGGCTAATAGAGAAACCGACCGTATAGCTACTAGCGACATTTTGTATTGCATAGTCGAAGTGTAAAGACAAATTTTCGACAGAAGAATACTCTTTGCACTGTGACATGCTATAAAAAGAAGATATCAGTATAACTATCCATTCAGTTAGAGATAGAAAGAGCATAGGGCTTGTTGTTTGTTTATTTTGTGGTACTCAGAAACATATTAGAGATCGCTGACAGTTTCAGAGTACCACAAACTCACTAACAGGTTTGGTGCAAAACAAGGCTGTTTCCAGTTGGAACAACAGAAAAAGTCCGATATGCCCGAAAGCAATTTGATTTTAACTTGCTGTGCCCCAGTAATTTCGTGGTTGCTTTTGTTTACCTGCTTTGCTACCAAGTTGTTAATTCCACAGCATGAAATAACATAAATCAAGTTCCTTTGAACGTCACGCTCTGGATCAAATGAACAAATCGATAGTGAGAAAACGGTGGTCAAATTTGCAGGCGATTTCTTACAGGCCAGTAACCATTGGAAACCGACTGTTACTATATTGCACAATAAAAACAGCAGATTGCGGGTTGTGTGGTGTGACGACCGAATAAATTGAGGCTTACACAAATTAAAAGCTAGCGCTTTGCGAGTAAGAAAAAATGGTTCAGTCTCACGCAAGTCATCCACGTCATCAGAAGCCCTATAATATTCAGCATGCCCAACATTTGATGGCGTAAAACCACGAAGTGCTTAAACTCATCCTCACATCAGATAACGCGATTTTGATCCAGATGAACTATGGCGCGTTTGAGAACAATATGGTACAGTGCACGGTTTTGGCGGTAAACTTCCTGTAAACATTTATGTGGACAAACTTAAGGTATGCCAGGAAGTTTTAAAATAGAAAACCATTTGTTCAAATTATGTTGTTGATTTGGATGAAGTACTGTGTTTGAATTATAGAAAGTTAAGCAGTTCCGGTGGGATTTGAACCCACGCATGAACACCACCTACGCTTTCTATTCATCAGACTGCAAGAAAACACAGGGAGCACTGATATTTTCATTTTTGAATCACCTATGAAACGAGCTGAGACATGGAATCCACGAGGTAGCACGCATGCTGACTGTCACAACATGATTTCCTTGTAATACACCGGCATGTCTCAAATGAACATCCAAGGCAGTAATCATTTTTCAAACAATATTGTTTGGCAGATTGAAATCTTTTGTTTGAATTGCAAAACGTTTTGTTTTCCCATTGTGGCCTTGTAGCTCAGATGGCAGCGTGTGCATTGAACAAAACGCGTAGGCAGGGGACATGCGTGGGTTCGAATCCCACCGGAGCTACCTAGCGTTTCATTATTTGAACAACAAAAGCACTGCATCAAGTAATGTCTATCACCTGGAACCTTAGGGTAGCGATTGAACACATGGAAGATGAAAACGAATAATTATTTTTGTGTTACTTCTCCACAGAAAATGCTGCAGTTTTCCCAACCCATAAATGGGACTGAAACTATTGTAGGAATGATAGTTTTTCTGAAACATGGAGCTTCGTTTGAGTGCGTTTATCTTGATACTATATAACGCTGTATTATTGAAACTCCAGAAAGGTGCCGAACAATTGCTCACTTGCATTTTTTTACTCCGTTATTAAAATACTTTATCACGGAGATAGACAAAATTAACAAACGTTGATCTATCTGGTAGAGATTTAGTGCCTGTCTGTAAAGAATATTGCTCTTGCAATGTGATTAAGTGAACAATATTATGGGTTTTGAATTATTATTA